ATTGCCATGGGTTCATCATTGGCACGACTGTGTTTGTGTACAAAGGATATAGCCTTGCCTCCTGCTTCGCCAGGTCACTAAAGATGGAACTAAGGGAGAGAATAGCCTCCAAAGCGAGGGGCAGGGCTTTATAAAGGCTGGTGAAACTGTGTTTTGCTTTGCTTCACACCATATAAAGTTTGCGGAATTCGAAGAAATGGAGAGTAGATTAGATATAAACTGATTGCAGGATGATCCATCTTTGATGAATGACAGTGAAGAAAAAAAAGTATACAAGCCAGAATTCCATAATATCCAATTACAATACTTAGACAGCCCCGTTCAACGGAGCAGAAGGATACACAGGTCGTTGAATGCCCATGCGGAATCGAGGAACACGATCCATTCGGTTCAAGGCTGTTGTGGGCATTCTGAGGACAGTTTCGCGATACATAGTCTGAGTCTCCCACTCATAAGAGCACCCAATAGCTCGCTGCATGCCACCCTCGGAAGCACAGAACATGAGAGTGACAGGTGGCCTGACAGCCTCGAACAAGGTCAACTCCATGTTGTACGTATCTACAAGAGTGAAAATCTGTCATTGTTAGTCAACGATCGAAACGCCACAGAAGATAAAGTGACTCACCCTCATGTCGCCTGGGCGAGCTTGCTTGGCTGCCTCAACCTTCATCCTCACCTCGGGATCCTTGTAGGGATCGACGCCCACGCGCTCGCCATCATCGTTAACGACGCTTCGGCTGAGGGGGCTTCCATTGGTGCTCCAGGAGAAGCGACCAAAGTTACCTCCAAAGATGGATCTCTCAATAGTGGGCGCATTGAGATGTCCTTCAAAGCCAAACATCTCGGCTTGAGTATCAGCAAACTTGCCACCGTAGATGACTCGAACCAGGTTCGGTGTGATCAACCAGATCCAGACGAACAGGAGGAGGAAGATGACACCAGGAGCAATCATGGCAGTTCCAGAAGTAGCGGTGGCACCGGTGGAATAACCATACGGGCTGCTAGAGGAAGTACCAGAAGAGCTGCTAGCGGATGCACCACTTGCGATGAGTGCAATTGCAATGACGAAGAAGACTCCGTTCCATTCAACTGCCAATGCTGCGAAGTACCTCTTCCAAGACGGTCCAGTAGACCAGTACACGGGGTAGAAAGTCTTCCAGCGGATAGAGATGCCCCAGGCACCATCGATAATGATGGTATCATTATCGGCGATACCAGCTACCTGACAGTAAGGAGTGATGTCCCAGAGAGATGACTCATAGGCATCCTCCATGTCGTACCATGGCTGATCCTTGTCTCGAGGCAGTGTGCAGATGTACCTCTCGAGGAGCCTGTCAGAGTCGTTTGCCAAAGACAGTCTTGAGAAAGCCTGGAAGGCAGTGTCGGTTCGGTCAACTTGAGGTCGAAGTCTCAAGAGACCCATGAGGGCATAAGCCTGGTCACCAGGGAGATACTCCGTAGTATGTCGGCTGTAAAGACACTTGAGTGCCAGAACAGCTTGCTCCAGACGACTCAGGTTGATTGAGCCGAGATAATGATCAATCAGATGGCGAGCCATATCAGAGTCCATATATGTCCAAACCAGAGCAGCGAACTGGTTCTTGGCAACAACCAGGGGGGACTGGAGGTTTCCGTCACGAGTGTAAACTGAGATAGTTCGGCCTGGGCTCAGTAGAACCTCGGGGAAAGTCCACATTCGACTTCCCCACTCACGAAGAAGAGACTCAGTGTTGGCCTTGCCTGAGTGTCCAGCCTTGGAGCCTTTACCCCTTCCAACAGCAATTACCATCCTGTCTGAACCGCGGAGAACATCTGAGATGCGATAAACATCAGACTCAAGTTCATTCTCATCGCGCATGCAGCTACAAGCGATCCAGTAGGCAGGAAGCTTTGCAGCTCGACAAGCAGTCTCGGCGATGTGATGAAGAGCCATCATGTCCTGCTCAGAGCTATGGCTAAAATGCTCAGTAGAGTAGGCAACGAAGAGATAGGCGAGGTTTGTGTCTTGTCCATCATTGTTCTCCCACTCGACAACACTACGGACATCTACTCCTCTGTTCTCATCGTTGAATGGCTCACGAAGGAAGCAGAGATAGCGAGGTCGCAGCATGCGATAGATCTGGTTGTTGCGAGCCATGAGGGATAGACCCTTGCGGTTCTCGAGCAGGTTGCTCCAGACCTTGGCGTCACCGTGATACCTGTAAAGAACAGGAGCATAAGCGAGGTTTCGCTTGATGACATTAGGCTTGCCATCCCAGAACTGCTGATGTCAGTGTACTTGTCATAATATCTTGTCAATATGCAACTTACAACAAGAGCCATGGCAATAGCAGCCGGGAAAGTTCTCAGCACCATGATACCCCAATCTTCCCAACTCTTGGGGTCGTAGCTAAAGTCAATGATCCATGTAGCAATGCGCACCTTCATCGGAGCGACCTTGCGAACATAAGTTCTCTTCCAAGTCGAAGTCCCAGGGCCTTCATAGATGGAATCAACACATGCAACATACATGTTACGAAGGTAACCATCATTGTGGTGCAGATACCGATCTGAACGAGGCTTGAAGGAGACGCGACCCGCATAGTCTCTATGTCTCAACTTAACCTCACTGTTCGTGTAAGTGTAACCAGGCTTCTGGTACAATACAGGGTTGCGCCATCGGTAGATGGATCGCGAGTCAAAGAAGTGCTTGCTTCCTTTGAGCTTGACAGGAAACTCCTTTTCAGAAACCTGAAAGCATTGTCAGCAAGCACTTGTGATAAAATGGGAGAGTATTCACTTCTTTCTCATTTGGACTGGTCGAAGTCGTGAGAGGCGTGGTAGTTACGGGGACAATGGCACCTTTGTTCTGCTAAGAAATGTTCAATTTAGAGACTAGAAACAAAAACAACCACGGAAGAGCTTTACCATTGGTCCGTCCTGCTGACCACTGCTAGAACCCTGTTGATAGATGACACCCTGTTGACCATTGTAGGCCTGCTCTCTTGTTAGCGGGTGCAACAGTAGAGGATGTGTAGTTACTGACCATAGATGGTTGTTGGTACTGCATTGTATTGTGAGTCTGGGGTTGTCCAAGAGGAACAGACTGTTGGTATCCTAGTGACCCAGGAGAAGCAGGATAGCTGTGGGACTGGGCCGAGAGTGGGCTTGTAGAAGGCGATACAGCTTGTTGATATGGATGAGTGTACGGTTGGTTCTGGTAAGACTGTAAGGCATGAGAGACTGGGAGGGTCATCGAGATATATAGATACTTACAACGACCGAGCTGCCTGGAGTATACGCACCGCCGTGGGCTTGGTGAGGTACAGCAGGGGGTGGTGTCTGATTATACTTGGGCCTTGTTAATACCGGTTCTCTGCAGATGAAAGCGAAGCTGGCTTACATTTCCAACAGAGTTGGGATCCCAGTGCCCTCCGTGTGCCTGTGACAGGTGTCAATGACTGAATGAAGCAAGGGAGAAGACGAGCGGGAAATACCATGGTTCAAATATGCAGAGCTGTGATGGAGAGAAAGTGACAAAACGCAGATGAAGGAAATAGAAAGGGTCAAGTCCTTCAGACCGACAGGTGGTTCTTCTCCGCGCTAATAAACCACAAGCAAGCCCTACGGCATATGTCACAAAGAAGCCGCAGCCTGACTAAAAAGGAGCTGGACATCAAGCTGAAAGGCTGTAACACGAGCATCCTATGAGAACGCAGAGCCTAGGCTCCGATTTGCAACTATATCTTAATATATGTGCTTGATAGCGCCGTTCCTTTTGCCACCGGAGACCTAGACCTTTCAGGAAGTGCAGAGCCCCTTCATTCTTGAGTCCAGAGCCTGCGTCAGGGAGAAGGAAAACTTCTGACATTGAATCAGGGTACTAAAATAAACTGGTCTAAAGGCTCCCTAAGTTATACTAAGACTTACCTAAACTTTTTAATTACTTAGAAAAGAGGTCCTGAGTTTTCCCGCCTCCCCCCTGGCCTGGTATCAAGGGGTGTGAACGTGTGTGACTATTCTTGACCTCCTGCATGCAGCCTCACAATATTGCAACGGTGATAGGCCACTGGTGACAAGTCGAGAGACGGCATATTCCGTGGAGTTGAGGCTCGAGCAGCAAACTATTAGAAGCGGCTGAGTCTCGGTATGTCACTCGCAGCCTCTGCAACTGTGATATGGGCCGTTGGGGGCCGGGGGTTAGGACTATTCAGCCATGGCGTTACCCGCGGCTTTGAGAGTATCACAGCCCCTGACATATTGTCGCAAATGCAGTGTCAGGATAGGACGCCTTGTGAGGTTTGGCGCCATGGAGACGAGCCACAGGGGACCCCTTGACCAAAAGCGGCATGCTGGGCGAGTTGGAAGATGTCTCACCAGGGATTGCCATTGGGCTGTCTCTTCAAGGATTTATTTATCTATCCGAAAACCTCTCCAGGATCACTAATATTCCGTTTGGTTGTGAAACCCACATGATCAGAAGTGTGGGAGTTGTAAACGATAGCGTTGAGGCCGTAGCGAATAGCAACATTGATAACATGAGACCCCTGGTCAGCGAGACTTTCAGCCCTGGGGAACTAGACCGGTCTGAGTGTAACCCAACCCGGGAGGTCGGGAAGCTTGATAATCTAAACTATATTATTTTTACGCGAGAGATGGGCCAATGAGGTGTTGATCTTGTATCTAGACTCGTTGGTGGCCCATTTCCGTTCAGAGACGGGGATATGGCGTTTTGGTGGTTGAAACATGGCTTGGTCTGGACACACCTCAGGGCTGCAAGCTTGCGATATCCCTGAAATAGAAACTAATACATGAAATGATAATGCACAATCACGACGCCATGGTCCTAGATCAAAGGGTTCGGCGCTTGTGCTTAGGAGGAGCAAGGAATACAATTGAGGCCCCCCAGTGTTAGAGACTGAGACCCTGAGGAGGATTTCCCCATCATAAGACAAGCAAAGTAACAGTCCATTTACTCGGTCAAATTGATCTTGGGTCGCAGCTCACACGAGGTATTCACCATGTCCTGGACTCAGAGATCTAATCCTTATGATGCCTTTGCTCAAGAGGCGACGCAAACGCCGCTCGCAGTCGCTTTTCCACAATGGATGCTGAATATCTGGGAAGTAACCCACGGTAAGTGACTGGAATCCTCCCCTTGGAATCTCTCGCTGATCATTTGTAGATCACCCAGAAGGCCGTTGGTACCTGGAGCCTAACGCCCGTTGTCTGCGGCAGAGGGCCAACTTGAGGATTGTGTAAGTTGATCACATCACAGAACAAAACGAGGCCTTTTGTTTTGCATCATCAGAAAATGCAGAGACTTACAACCCCAGATTTGCACCTCTTGATCTTCCCCGTCGAGATGCTCTCTCCCAGTTTGTCGAGCTCTTCAACATCCTCAACATCCCCAGCGACTTCACCAAAGAACGTCTCCAATCTGTTAGTCACAGCTTCGGGCGCTCCACTGACGCTCATGGCTCCAGCTCGTGGTTTCACTTCCTCTGCAAGAACATCGACATCAAGCAAACTCACGGAAATGCCCCCGAAATTGACAACCGTGCTGCAACAATGGGTTATCACATCTCTACCCTCCCGCAGGCCGACTATAGTTGGCATCGCGCAGGCTTCTTTTTGAGAGTTGATAACAATGGTTGTGTTACACTTGTTTGCTTTGGAGTCATGCAGAAGGTGAGGGAGAGGATTAATGAGTTCGTTGCTGCCAAGGCCTGGCAGCATGTTGCGACTGACCCGTATATTCTGTTTGATCTTGTGTTTGAAGCTCTTTACTTTGAGGTTGATAACACTGTTTGGAAGATGAACACTGTTTTTGGTCCTTTGGAACATGTAAGTCACCTACCTCCAATACATCATGCACAACTGACTGATGGATCTAGTTAATCCTCGAGTACGCCAACTCTAAGAACATTCGCAAGATGAGCTCCAAAGTCCCATTCTCTGCAATGCACAATTGCGCCAAGCACATCATCCACATTGCAGAGGCAATTGACTCATGCATCTTGCTTGTTGACGCAACTCTCCACAATGTCGGGAATCACCAATATCCAGAGCAGCCAACTCTGCGAGAACCAATAATCAAACAGTTGCGCGAAACTCTCCAGTATCGGCGCTCGCTATTTATGTCTAGTCAACTCCGCCTCAGCAGTCTCCAGAAACGTATCGATAACGCCATCACGCTATCGTTCAACCTAGTCACTCAGCAAGACTCAATGGTGATGATCCAGGACTCCAACTCCATGAAGGTCATTGCAGCTATTACCATGATCTTTCTACCAACAACTGGTGTAGCCACTGTCGTTGGCTCCCAGCTGTTTACATCTGAGATTCTGAAGGACGGTACAAGCTGGGACGTTAGGCTCACACCGTTATTCTGGACCATGTTGTGGATTTCTATTCCTCTTACTGTATTTGTAGTTCTTTTGGCTATCATCTGGCATTGGTGGGTTCACACTGAGTCTCCCACAGGAGAGGTTGTGCAGGTGGTCAAGAGGGCGGCGACGTTCAGTTCTTCCGGTACGAGAACGCCACCCAATGGCAATGCCAAATAATTTGGCTTACATTCCATCACTTGAGCCTTTGTTTTCTATTATTTCGACTTCGTTATGGTCCTATCTTTTGATGGAAGTGTATTGTCTAGCGCCAAAACCACATGTATTTAATACGAATTGACATATACAGCTACATTGTCCTTGACCTCGGTACTACTGAATGATAAATTTGTGTCCTCGACTGACTCGCAGTCGCAATGATAAGCCCAACTTGTGGGAGGAACTTGACGCTCAGTACAAGTCAATATTTCATTTAGCACTTGAACACGGCAGGACCAGGGATCTTGTAGGTGGTGGCTGTTATCTCTATTAGCAAGACTTAAACTTCAGCTCAGACGGAAGGATACTCACCCTGGTAAGGGCTGTAGGTAACACCGGGGTCAGTGCTGGCATACGCTCCGGGGAAAGCAACAAGGTTTGAAGGAGTTGTGCTACCGGAGCCGGAGACCTTGAGCTGATGGCAGCCAGGGTAGAACTGGGCTCCGGGATATCCTGAGGCGGAGTGAAGAGCAATAAGCTCATGGCGGACAAGGTAATAACCAGGCTTGATGCACTCAGGAATGGTGTAGTTGACACCCGAGTTACCAGACTTCATCAAAGGGGTCTGGTATGACAGCGTTAGTAATCTTAGAACCTCGTATAATGAGGACTTATACTTACGGTAGCCCAGTTGTTGCTGGTTCCGTCACGTCCAGCCTCCTGAATCTTGAACCAGACCTTCTGGGTACCAGGCTCCCAAGTATCACAGCCTGAATCGGGGCAACGAGCCATGTAAGTAATGACGGGTCCAACATGAGACTCGGGCCAGAGGGTCCACTTCAGGTTGACAGTCGAGCCAGCCTTAGCATCGGCATGGAGAGCAGCAGGTGAGCTTCCCTTGATACCTCCAGCAGTGTAGCCGTTGCACTGCATGTCGATGGAGGTGACATCCTCAACAGGTCCGTTGCCTGGAATCGGACGGGAGATGCGCTTGGGAACAGGGTTCATGTAAGGGTCAGTGTAAGGATTGTAGAATTGATATGTCTGTCCATTAATAATGCCTGTTTCGACATATCCATGGGCAGCAGCCAGGCCAGCAGTGGCGAGAAGTGAGTAGAGGAAGTGCATGCTGAATATCTTTAAAGCTATAAGGGTGTATGGAAGAGCTACAAGGTAAAATGAAAGAATGATCTGAGATCTGGGGTGTAGAAGCTTGACGATCACATCCTATCGTGAAAGACCGCCATCTTATATAACGATGAGGACGATGTTGAATAGACACTAACTAACAAGAGCCGGTAGCATGTAGATGAAACACCCCCGAGTATTTCCACCATTCAAACAAATGTTTTCAATACTTTAGTTTTGGAGACTCTCATGATCTAAACGAAAGCCAGGGTGAATTCCCCAATTGGGGAGTGAAAGCTCGGAGCTTCGATGATCATCCCAATTAAGCATCATACCTTATTTTTACTCCGCGACCGAATTGACAGCCACTGGTTCACATCTCGCTAGCCAAGAATAGTTCAAGGATTTAGTTGCAGATTGTCAGCCTTCTTATCATGACCTGTCGATGGAGATATTGAGAAGTCGAGATAATTGTAGACGCCATCATGAGGAGCACGTGATATCAGGATGGCTTACGGGCAATCACTGCATTGAAACACCAAATAATCAACATCCCCATCACCATCACCATCAAAACCCTGCCTATAAATTCGTCCTTAAGCCTGCCAGATACTGTAACAAAATCTAATCGATCGGTTCTCAGCTACCATGCGTTTACCGCTGGAGGTCATGGGACTCATTGCCGAACATGCGGCTCAGCACTTCAGAAATGCATCCCCATTCATCCAACCCACGAATCAAGAAGAGGCAATAAAGGCGCAAGAACACCACCGTGACCTCTCAAACCTAGTCCTCTCATGCAAGACTGTTTACAATCATAGTCGACACCTCCTCTACACCTGTCTAATCCTGGGGAATGCTACCGACATAGTCGCCGCTCTGGCCAATATTGTCAAACATCCACAAGTCGGACCGTCTATCCGTCATATAAGGTGCTGCACGGAGCTTCACTCCGAAACAGAGCGGGATAAGGCTTTACAGCATTGGCTGTTGAACCACTCACACGATGGGGCACTACTCCAAGACACCCTCAAAGCAGAAGCTTTACATCCTCCTTGGTGGAATGAAACAGACATTCCTTGGACATGCTGGGAAGGATTTGTATACGATGACTGTACAGAGTTTGCACTCTTGGCCCTTCTGCATATGGTAACGGAGCTAGAGACGCTTTCTTTCCAACAGCTTGATGCAGACCTCATTACAAATTGGGAAGAAGAGCGAGATCTGCGAGTATCTTTCGCGGAGGCTCGGGCTGGAGCACGACCCTTCTTAGGTTCGTTACGAAGTCTTCACTTTGGTAGTGGGACGTTGGGTGGTATGGAGAACTTTCTTTCCAATCAGCCGCACGAAAATCTAGAAGTCCTGGTCCTCGATGGTATAGGTATTGAAGGCTTCAGCCGATGGTCCCGATACTTTGAGTTCAAAGGTACTCATCTGAAGGAGCTTTACTTGGGAAAAAGAAAAACATCTTCTAAAGCTATTATTGACCCTCTTCTTGCTCAAAGAGAATGGGTCAATGGCAGGTGGGTTACTCCAGGACCAAAAGAGCTGGAAACCCAGTCTGAGGTGTGTGTGGGAGGCGAAGAAGCATGGAGACTCTCGGTTCCAGAAGCCAGGGATACTATGGATTGCCTCAAATACTTCAAGAATCTCAGGGTGTTGGATGTTGTTTTTGACAGACCTCCTGATTGGCCATCTAGGTCGTTGATTGCAATCAAGAACATTGCTTCAGAGTCCTTGGAGGTTTTTAGAGTCGAAGGATACCCTTTCAAAGTTGTTCCAGGAGATTTTGGACCATGTAACACTGCGTATGAACGTGCTTTCGTTCCTAGATTTCATACGGTCGAGTAGGTTAGAGGCTACACTATCTAGCTAAGCACTTTTTCTTCAACTAAATGGCATCAATAACTTTTCTTCTTGAATAAGGTCATTGTACTCCAGTTACTTTAGAGAGATATCTTGAACTATTATATGGTAACTACTGCCATGTTACCATGCCCCTGCTGGATTTCCCACTCCTTGTTTAATTATCTATAAACTTGGGATAAACGCGACCTATTCTTAGTTCCTTTTACCTCCTTTTTAAATAATGTTTACTTTACCAACATCCATAACTCGATCTCAGTCATATATGCCATACAAAAAAATGCCGGATTTTATTAACCTATCTCAGCAGGAACCCACAACGTTCCCACTGAGATTCCCACTTCGGCATTCTAGTAGAATCGAAATCTCCTCTAAACACTCTCCTTAGAACTCTCGAATTTCTTGCAAGCAACTTTCAACTTTCTGTCAACTCGTCTGTAACCACAAGGCGATAAGGCCCCCCATCTTCCAAGATATCACTGGGCTTCTTGAACCAGGAGCAAAAATGTCAAAAAACATACAACAGCGGGGATTCGCTGGTCGTCACCGACCCAACTACTAATCCGCCCCTTATCAGCTTATCTATGGGAGAGCGGACGGGATCCCGAGTTCTCTGATAGGTATGGTCGTATGTGAAAGATCGTGGTGTTGAGTAGTCTCAAGACCAAGAACAACACAAGCACATAGCGTTAATACCAAGTGATTACATCACCAAATAGGATATGGATTTATTAGTGTTATATTAAAACATATTACAAACCTTGAGGCTTCTTCCGACTGAACGGACTATTTAGAAATGTCCACGGTGTTGTTGGTGGCGTCTTTGACCTTATGATATACAGCTGTCATATCGTTGAATCACAGCCGACTTTAACCCTTCTTGGAGAAATTGAGTATTACATACACAGGAAGTTCTGTGTGCATCAGCTGGTTTCTTTGTCTGCTGTTCAACATGGATAGTGTCTAAGTATATGATAATAAGCTTCATACTTGTCGAAATGTTTAAAGACGAGTGCTTATCGTCACCTGCCGAGCAACCAGTGAAGACAAGACGATTGGTTCAGTCCTTCTTACTTGCAGTTTTTTTGAGTTCCTGAACGAGAGACAATGTAGGTACTCAAGTTCATTCTCAGGTTCGTTGGAGAAAGTTGAGTCTTGGTGCTTGTTTCAGGTATTGCTTCTGGCAAGTCATATTCATAGCCGTAACACCGAAGGATGAAACGAATCTAAGGATGATCTATATTAACAATACCGCTGTAATTGTGCCTAAGAGATAGGCAGTTTGGTAAATTCTAGAAGACTGCCATACGTCTCTTTGCAGGCTGGCTATGAGAACCAAGTTGCAGCTCGACAAGGCAACCGGATGAAAAATAAGAAGATATAGAAATACGACTTACCCTGTGGCGATCTGGGGATCAACGAGTGAGTACTCGCCACTTTCGCTGCGGCAGTTGTCTCGCGTCTTCCGTCCTCTATGGAGTATCTTTCAATTCTGTGCGACAAACAACGTCGCTTGCTTCAACGCTCAATTGAGACTCAATGATCATTGCATCACGACAAAAATATGCCGACTCCAATGAATTCGTAAAATTTAAGTAATAGCGTACAATGAGCCTGCCAATGATGTTATACCCGCTCGATGACGGAGTTCGGTAAAGCCACGCCTCTATGATGAGTGTATGGGTCGGACTCGATGCCAATTACCCTGTACAAAAGAAACGATCGTGAGAAAGGAACAGGATAGCTTGGATCTTTGAGGTAACGCGCAAAGAATGATCTTGCAACGCTCGAGCTTGTCATATGACGTCAAGTTTTACTGGTGTCCCCAAGCTTAGGAGTTGTTGTATCAGCTATCAAAACATCTTGTAACCGTGGGTACAAGGCTTGAACTACCCTGTGTTCTGATATGTCGCAGCCTTTTGAAGTGATTTGAATAGTTTGTACGACACCTCAAACCTTGGTGTTGAACTCTTTTGCTCCCTCGGGCGAGATACCCTAGATCGTTAGAACCGTTGTTCACCAGGATCTGACAGAAACCCGAAACAGAAGCAGCCCTTCTGGAAGAATGCGACGGTTACGGCCAAGATGCAGCTTTTCATTCTTTAGGCATCCAGATGTTACCAATCTGCTCCAATACCTTGAAAAGGCCTCCCACCCTCGTCGAGTCGAGTGTAACCATACGTAGTATCAACTGAGATTCAAGATCACGCCACTTTGAAAGCAAGCTGTACCGGCCCATTCCCTTGGAATAATGCGTGCACCCAAGCATGTAACATAAAACATGAGATGTCAGTTTATATCTCATGCCTGATAACTTGGCGAGCAGCTTGAATTTGGTGACATGCACGGTACTGCCGGCAGCTCACCAATGTCGGCGAGATCATCGATATTTGGTTTGTTTTTGTCTCGATTGTTTTGAATTGAGTTCGAGACGAAAGATGGATTTGAGTAACCTAAAAAGTCACGCAGGCTTCCAGAGAAGAGCCTATGGGCATTCAATCATCTTAATGCATTGTGGATTCTTGGATATGGATGCATGCGATAATGCCGCGGCCTTTCCTGGAATAACTCGCTCACCAGGACAATCTGGGTGAAGGATCATAGGTCAATAATAACGGGCCTCACATCCAATGCATCCATGATTTGATGCCGACCGCCGTCAATGTTGATCGAAACGTGCTGATGAGGATGTCTCGGATGTTGTCTTGGTGCTTTTTGGCCGTCCCACAAAGATCAGAATTTCCTTTCAGTATGGCACTTTTGTTGTCAGCACTCGTTGTTTTATGCACCTCAATCGCAGATGAGGCTCGATCAAGTAACTCAATCTCGTTCTTCTTTCTCTTCTGTCTTCAAGGTGATGTCGCTTGGCCATCGTCATGAAGCAGCGGCTAACAGTGGGTTGGGCAACACACTACCTGCACGCTGAACTGCAAGCGGCAACTCAGCAAACTAGTGAAAGTACGTATTCGTTTGACGAAATAAACACCAACATTAGTTATTGGCGATCTGGCGCGGAATATCGCAGGTTGGGGTGAGGCACGGAAGCTGGCGGGCATTAGCCAGTCGAGCGGACTGCAGATCACCGACAGGGCAGTAGAGGGCATGAGAGGACATTAGTCTAGAGCCTAGAGGAAAGCGAGGAGAGGAGCAGCGGACGCTGCACAGCCCAATCTCAAACCTGACAGGTCGCCCAAGGGTCATCTCGTAACTGGTCCCGTGACGAAAACTGACAACGGCTGAGTGAAACATGGCTTCGCGGGAGCCTTAGCCAGGCCTCCGAGCGATCTATTTAGATTTTAGTCTGGTGAGCCTAGGCTGCTCACGAGTTGCGTGGACTAGTACGCGAGCTTTGAATAACACAGTAAGACAGGCCAGCCTCAACACGGCACCCTGGGCTGAATTGCCTATCCAGGAGCAAATGCGAAGAAGCTCAGCAGTTTGAGTTTTATGGCTGAAATCTCGATCTGAGCATCATCTAGATTGCTGGGCAGGACTGTCGCAGTAGCTGGCACACGAACATGCAATAGTTACCCCACAACTCTGCACCACGGCAAAGATGACCAACAAAGATAGATAACAAAGTCAGCGCAACCCCAGATTCACCTTCGAATCAACAAAATTACCAACAGACCCTGCAGCGTGTGGGGGAACAGACCCCGCGTTTTTGGCAAGCCAGTGGATGGGTGATGGGGGGCGCAGGGTCAAAATCTAAGCACGAATAGGGAGGCAGCGATAAGAAAGACACCCAGCGAACTGAGATGGGACTGAGAGCACGAGGGAAGCTCTGGGAGGGGGGGTATTAGAGTTTCGGCCCATGACCAAAACGAGTCGAGAACCACTTCAGCTGTGACAGCTCAATCCTGTTCTCGTGACTCGGTTGGGGCAAGATAGAGAAGACGTTGCCAGTGATGTCACGGCGATCAAGACCAGAGAAAATGGTAACCAAGGAAAAAAAGACAAACAATTTTCGAAACACTGATTATACCAAGGACGCGCAGGGAGATGACTCCGATCAGCAGTGCGAAAAACAGGAGTGCGGTGCTCTCTGCCCCGTAGGAATGAACACCTGGCGATCAACAATGGACTCTTCTCTGACTGAACACTGAGCTTAAGAGAAGGGTTGGGGTTGTGTTCTCGTTACTGTGCGTCACCACTAATCTTCACCCTCCCACCATCTGAAGAACACTGGAATTCAATCGCGGGGAGCAGACTGGCAGACTGGCCAGGCTCAAAAGGGGAGAGCTGACCCGTCGGCACCAAAGACATGGCGTCACTCAAGAAAGCGAATCAATGTCTTGCACAACTGGTCGTCATTCGTGCATCCAAGACCCTGCAGACAATGACAGGAGGAGGGCTTTGAGGCCCCCTGACTTTTGTTTCTTGTACAGCGTGATGCTCATCCCACAAAAAGTCAACCGCAAGAATGCCGTTTTGTACACGTGCTCACAACAATGCAACAAACGAAAAGTATCAGGAATGGCTGGTTCCGGGAAGTACTTACAACAAGCTGGGCTTGATTGATAGTGCAACCGCCGGACGCGGATGGAAATCACGCGGGAACACAAGGAATGGGAAAGTATAGATAAGAGATTCCCGCCCCGAGGCTCCGGCGGTGTTTTTCGGGCGAGGCCCGGAGTAGCTGCTGAAAGACCTCCGGTTCGGCCCTCTCTTCTCTCCACTGACTCGTGGATCGCCACGTTAAGGGCACTCCAAGTGCCGGACGAGTAAGTTGTAGTATCAGTGGTCGAGGCGATGATCAGAGTGAACTCATATAGACATTATTTCGTTCCGTCCTCAACACCGACCATTCCGATCGGGCAAAACAATCTAGATTGCTATCGCAGCTCTAACTGGTGGGTGGGTGGCTGGATGCTTGGTGAGGTGTCTTATCAGCTCGGGCACGCGATAGAGTTCCGAAACGTGACCCCCAACTTGCACTACGAATCATCAAGTACCTACTACCTCAAGTAGGCAGCTAGATTCAAATAGTCTTCGTATCTCGCCCATCAGTTGTGCTCCAGATACTGGCACGTATCTATCATATCATAGGCAGGTGAAGTTGCTGGGTTCTGAGTGGAACAAATCCAAACGGCTCGTTATCTGTTGCGCCAGCTGGCTCCTCTCTATTTGTCCTGTCCTTTCAAAAGGTCTGGTCAGTCCACTGTCACATTGATAAATTGTGCAGCTCATCAATCCCTTTGAGATCCTTGCATGCGACATTGCTCGACGGGACAACCAGCCTGACCAATTCTCACCCATTTTCCTTCCGTGTGGCCGATAAAAGCGTGAGCGAGGCTTTGACACGGTTACTGACTACTACAAGGGCTGTGCTCTTCGTTGGCGCTTCGAGCGGACCTTGGACCCCGAAACACAAGCTTCCTTGTGACTCGCCAGTTTGACCAATATTTGTGGTTTGGCTTTTGAACTGTCGAGCTCAATCTCAGACAATTGCTTGGCACGCTGCCCTGCCCAAGGTCCCGTTATTGCAGTCTGAACACGCCCCTCCCGTGGCCTCGTAGCCATGCGTCGATATTGAATAAATACATCCATTGTTGTCGTTATCACTCACCAGAATACGAAAAGGACCATATCTTTTGCGAACAACAACTTTGTGTTTCTTCTGTCTGCCTGGACGGCAGTTCTGTGTTATTGAAACAATATTGGAAGCCGATATGGACAGCAAGCAAGCTTCTCCGCGGCCCTAAGATCAGCAACCTTGTCTAATTTGATTTGTCAATAACAGACCCCTGCGGCATCTGGATGAAGACACACGAGCATTACACGACAGCAACAAAACCCTTTTCAGCGCTGCAAGGCACGACACGACCCGTTGTTCGCGGTAGCGTAATCCAAACGGCTCGTTCTTTCAACAAACTTCGATTCGAGGAGCCACTTGGCCATCAAAGACGTGATTCGTTCTTCACCTGAGCTCTAGGGCTTTAACGAATTCGCAAGCGTCACGCTTGATCGACGAACCAATCCTGAGCTTCGTGTTTACGTTACTGAAACTGCTCGTTACTGTGCACACAGTTCGCTGGGGACAAGACGGACACGCGGTCATCCCCGGACTGGTCTTCCTTGCTTTGCTTTGCTTTGCTTCACTTCTGCCGCTCCGGTTTCGCGGTGCGGATCTCATACCCGGCACTGGCTGGGCCTGGAATCGAAGCTTGTTGAGCCTAGGCAGGGTCACACAGCTTGATCCGAGAAAAAGGGTCCTTTTAGGGAGGAAAAATCATTAAAAGTCAGGGCAATCAAGATCAGGGGACTGATCGACAAACGAGGGAGGGCCTCAATTTTGGGAAAAAGAAAAGAAAAATAAGTGAGACCTGTGACAAAGCAATCCAGGGCCCAGAAGACAAAAAAAAAAAAGAAGTTCGGGAAACCTTTCAAATCTGCCCCGTCCTCAAGGAGCAAGAAAATATTGGACATTGATATAGGGTGTCAAAATAAACTCAGCAAAAGGTACCCTAAGCTTATGCTAAGTTACCTAAGTCTTTTTGTCATTTAGGATCAAGGTCCTGAGTTTTCTTTCCTCCCCGAGCCCGTCCGCAAAAGGCTGAGGCGTGGAAGTTGACTGCCGCTGCAACAAGGCCCACAGGGCAGTTTTGAAGAGGTGAGGACCTTCTGGCTCCTGCCAAAACCCCCAGGAAGCCAGAGAGCCACCAACAAGACCCACTCCGCTCCGCTATTGCCAGATTGATTGCAGCGCCTGCCCGCCTGCCACCATCCAATTCCCACTGTCCACTCCTGCCAGCACACCAAACCCCCCCTGGCTCTTAGCCCCGAGGGCAGGATCAAAGGTACCGACCCCAAGTCTCACCCTGTCGTGTCGCACTTGCCCTGTCTTGGATCCCGGAATTCGGACTGGGGGGTGGCCACTTCAGGCAGGATGATGACTCCACGCTCTTTCATGCTGGCGCAGCGTCAGAGGGAGAGCCACCATCAGCGCCCTCCTTCCCCTTGTACTACCGGTGCTAGTCATCATAATACTTTGTCTATTCCGACTCCCTCTTTATCTCCTGCCTTCACTCCCATTCCCACACGTTTATTCTCCTCCTCACCCTCACCTTTATCTTCTTCTGTTCTCTTAGATACTTCCTCTCCTCATCACCAAATATCAACACCGATAAACAGTGTACACTATCCATACCAGCCATCACCTACGTTCAATACCAAGTTGGCGACTTCAACAGCAGCGACTTCGAAGTCGACCACATTCCCACTTCCGCGCTGGTCGCCAAACTATGACGATAGCAACAAGAACATTACGGTCACCATATCTTCAGCTCAACCGAACTCCAATGCAACAATGGTTAAACGCAAGGATTGGCGGGAGACTTCAAGTCTTGCCCCTTCGAGCCCACCAAAGACAACAGTTAGTCTGACGATGAGATCAACGACACCTACAAGCCCGGTCAAGATTCCTACCACCAACAACCGATATGGCGCCCATCCTCAAAAGCGTCACTCATCACAGAGGAAACGAAGCAGTGACTCTCGATCTTCGGATAAGCTTTCACCGTCTCTTGTTGCACTCTTGGCTGTTACAGATATTCCTCGACATAAGCAACTTCAAAGGCGCCGCCGCCGTTCCGAGAAGACCCTGACAGTTCAGGAGGTTATTGACTGTCAGCATGCTTCGGAAAAGGAACTGAGCTGGACATTCGGTAGCCCTCTGGACATGCTTCTATCCCCACCCCAGGAAGTTGCCGACGATGATGATAGTGTGAGCGATTGCAACATTGGTTCCGGCATGTCAACAAGAACTTATTCCATCGATTCCATCCCATCACTGGACGAGTCATTCTCTAGCGAATGCCTCTCATCTCTCGGAAGCCCAAGGACACCTAGTCCATGCTCTCGCAGGACTAACTTAACGCCCATGCGAAAGTCGCTGGAGCCTGTCATCTCTCCACCTGGCTCCGTTGACGAACACCCACTGGCTGGGGATGATGTTGACGTCGACGAGCTGGACTTCAGCTCTCTCAGCCAGCCTGAGGAGGCTCAGCCCAAGTCTCAGTTCCTGGAACCGTTCAAACCCTTGAGGTCCGTCTTCAAGTCGAATCTTACCGCTTCACTCCGAGCTCTTCGATCAGCGGCCCGATCTTTCTCGGTTCTAAACCTTCCTTCTATCCCACCGGATGATTACTTGACTCGATCTATTCTCACCATCGACCCCAACGTTCCCTATGCTGATGAGCGTCGGCCACCCGTTTCCGAGGAAATGCCTTCTGCCGCAGTTCGCCGCTATCTGAATCCTACCACTAACGCAAGAATCGAACCGCCAACCAAGACTGTTTTTGCCGGAACTTTTGCTGCATCGATTCAGATGCGAACTTACAAGATCCAGCGCTCCCGAACAGCCCCGGGCTCTACCCGAAACTCTTATCCATCAACATCGCTCCAGTCGCAGCCAGCCCCTGTCCCTCAGCAGCCACAGCCGCAGGTCCCCACTCAATCGGTCCCAGGCATGCGACAGCGGGAAATGCGTGAGAACTCCGACTTCATCCGTATCGCTGTCATGGAAATGGCGATGCGCAAGCGCGGAAAGCTCGACGACCAGCGACCGGGCCGAGCTCGTTTCGCACTTCCCCCACGACAAACCTCAACGAAGCCCTACGAGATGGGAGCAAACGGTGTTCCGGCTCGCTGGATTCCTATCACAGCCTAGGTGTCCATCGCTGTGCCGTACCTAGAATCGACACCACAAATCAAAAGGCTTGAATTTCTCGATTTACGACATGCAACACGTCATGTACCTGGCCATGGTTTCTTTGCATTGCAACGAGGCCGGTTCAGGCAGGACAATCCACGGAAGTGCAGCCGATTTGGGACCCACTTCGTGGACTCATTATGGAGTTTCTGACGTTTAACCATGCCATTGGATGCGATGATGCAAATTTTTTGCCCCCCATCTCAATGGAAGGGTTTTAGAAGCATGCCCACGAGCGATGGTCCCACCACCCGACGATAGGCCCTGGAGAAAGTGCAACACGACTTTTGACGGAACCAGAGCAAAGCGATTGACCTGGTTCTGACTCGGGAAAACCGGGTCGAAATTAGCATCACTCAAGGGGATTGGCCACCGAACACGAACCCGAAACAGCCTGGGCCTCGGCACTCATGGTTATTTCACCATGAGGGCATCGGCCAAACACAACCTGACAACCAATCACAATTTCCATTAGACATGGGAATACTTCATCATTCTAGAAAGCGAGTGGCATTTTCAGGAGTTTCCCGTCATTACACGTTTTTTATTTACTTATTCCCCTTTCTTATCACCGCAAGGTGGAGAAAAAGCGCACAATCACCGGATTGCCAGGAACTTATTTGTCTCTTGTACATTGACCAAAATTTCTCATATTTCTTTTTTCAAACAGGATGTTTCGGCATTTGACCCCCGCCCAAGCGGGATCGGATGCAACTGAATAAAATCCCGCTCAAGGCCGGGCTTATGGACAGCCTTGGGACGCGGTCGGAGAAGACTCGGACAGAGAGGGAGTATTGCATCTGTTGAGAGGAGTTGGCACTTAGGACCGCAGGAACAGAGCATCGAGTCCGGCGAACTGGAAGATGATTTTTTCTTTCTTTTTTTCATAAGCAGGACTGTCATCGGTACATACATATCACATTCACAAAGCAATCGTCTTTTGAGACGAGGAGAGGCATAGGCGCAAGCGGCATGGCACGTCAAGGAAGACATTGAGCGGTGTATTTACTTGGATATCCATTTGTTAACATTTACATATTTTGATCAAGATATTACTCTTATTTTTCGTGTTGCACAATCCACTGGGAATATCCTCCTACATTGGACCCCTCGGCTATTTCTAGCCCGACTTTTTTTTTGTTTTTTTTTGGTAACCATTCAATTCGTGGACCTCTCATTACCTTCGCCAAAAGCGGCAAAGCGACATTTGGGCTGGGCAATGCACGAATGCCCAACCAACCACCTCATCAAAAAAATAATATTGCGCTGGACAGACTACCTTCCTGCACGTTGGGCTGTTGTCTCAGACACCGATTGTTGAGATTGCGTGGTCAACGGTAACTGGATCTCACGACAAGGCCTTGCTGGCAATGTCGGTTATCAAGCGTATTTCACTCCATCAGTCTATGTGCTCGGTTATGGACCTTCTCTTTATGCTTCTCATCCGGGCAAAACTGGAGCGATGATGCTAGCAACAGTGACAGGAGTTCCTCAGATGTGGGACAAAGAACAAAAGAACTTCTAGAAGACCCTTTCCTTCTTGTTGTGGGGGTAAAAGCCGCGACTTGGATTGAGTCAGACGCTAGTCAGGGGTTGGTGAAGAGCAGGGCTACAAGCGCTTTAATTGTCGATGTTTTGACCACGGGAAAAATCGACAACTCCCCGCTTGCGATAAGGGAAATAACGCCAAAAAGGCAAGATTTTCAACAGGGTTCTCTTTGCTGCACTGTCCTTTGTTGTGCAGTAGCTGGCTCCATAATGCCCTCAGGGCCTCAAGGGGCGTGTAGCGGAGACAAATCTCCTATGCCCAGGAGGGCAACAATGTTCTAGACCGCTTGTTACAACATGTTGTTTACTATCTCGTGACTGCAGAGTATATGAAGCCATTTGATCAGGCGGTGTATTAATTCCTATTCTGTGGGGAAACTCCTGTTTGTCCTTCGGATATGTACACCGAGCTGACCGCGATAGGGCATGGTGAGCCCTGATGACGATGGACAGGGTTAGCTCATCCAAGACCACGAGAAACCTACATCAACCTGCACATGTTGGACATATTTACTAGTCTTCGAGTATAAGGAGTATCCTGGATATGAATATGCGAGCATGTGGTCTTTTGTAGGATGCTTGGCAGGATAGTCGGGGGACTAGCCACGACGAGAAGGAGGCAAGACTTTCTGTAACAAGGGCAAAAGGTCCTACGATAGACACCCTCACATAAGTGCCTAGAGATACGAAATACCCTGACTGTGGTTTCTTGACCATGGGGGAGCTATGGGCAGGTGGATGATAGTGATAGTCGCATGTGCGCAGCATGCGAGTGCGATCCATAGATTGGCACTTGGTCCTGATATGACAGTACATATTTGATATGGGTGCACTACTATAAGCAAGAATCTTACAGTTGATTCATTCATTTGAACGAGCATGTTTAGTACATGGTCAGGGCCAAGGGAACCGAAAGTCTGTAGCTACAATAACAACTACTGATGCTAACTGTATGGGTTACCTTCAAAAGCCGAAGGAGCCATATTCCGGGACAAATGATTACTCGAGTTATAATGTGAGACTGCGGTCAGATCAGAAGCATGTCCGCGTGCAACAGTTTGTAGTCCAAGTTGCTGTCTGTCTGGAGAAACACACATCGAGATCGTTGTACCCACCCATACCTAAAGACATTTCAAAGAAGCACGAGAGAGTTGACGTTCCTTTCTGTTGAGCTGGGGATCGTAATGCGCTAACCTGAATGTTGACTTGTGTCAATTCAAGCTTTGTATATTGCGAGCGTTTGCCATATGATCCAACATGATGAACACCCAGAGTCCAATTCCTGTTGATTAAACTCGATTGTCGAGAGAACCTGATGTCGCTCTAGCAAGAGTTCCCAGGAAAGTCGTTGATTGATAATGCGCCGACTATTGGGTGACATTGACGTTGAGCTGGGGAACTCCATGTAGGCTTTATTCCACCACTGTCAATGGGCAAGATACGTTCATATTGAAAGCCTCATGATCATATAAACCAAAAGAATTCATCAAGAAACATTAATGCCGGAGGATAGCATTGGATCCTTCTCTTGAGACCAGCCTGATCTAACAGAACTACACTCGTCAACACTGAGTCTAAATGAATCTTGATATTTGGACAACTGAGCCAACTTAATTATATCCCGCTGGTTATAGAGTCTTATGATGGTGAGCATAAATACGCCCCAAATCTTAGGGATCTTTCGTTCTACAGTGGTCACCTTAGGACCATATCATCACCAGCATGGACGATGCATGTTGTCGGCATGTTTAAAGAAAGGGATGAGTGTATGATTAATACAGGTAGAATAAATAGATTTGAAAATTATGAGAGCGACTCGTGACAGGCAATGAAAACCGGACATCTGTGCCTAAGACCATGGTGTACTAACTGAGTAACTGCCATGACCCTGAGCAATCGGATTTGGAGGTTACTGTCAAGCCATTACCGAACGATTAGAGACGACTATGGTTAGAAGATTCTATACTAAGATGTCTGGTGGGATCAAGTCGAATTTATCGCAGCTCCATGTTTGAGAGGACTGACCGAGTATCATACGAATGAGGTCCAAGCCCTGACTCACGACAGCCAGTAGAGAGATGGTCTAAGGGATTGCATTGTACATGCTGCTTAGAGGGGGTAATGCCGTGACTTAGTGATCGGCTGTGATTTAAGATGAATGCGCAGTGTCGTATGTTCGCCCGGTCAAATGACCAAGCCCCTGAAACAGGTTATTCTCAGCAAGTAAATCAGGTAAGGTGTCACCGAATAACTGCAGTATATGTTATGAAGACATTGCAGGTAGCGTTGAAAGCCCGATAATGGTATCAGGAAATGTATTCTTCCTCCGAGTTGTGTCTGAAGTCTAGGGAGCCGCATGCAACACACCACGATAACTTGACTGAACAATCCCGTAGCTGGACCATGGCGAGCGCCAGATGAACATCATTAAAATCATTATTATGAATATGCTAACCAGCCATGCCAGTTCGTCAATCGCTCCGCCCTCGTCATGGACAGATACGCACTATCCTCAAGCCTATCCTGAAGCTCCTTGAACTTTGGCGTGGGTGCTTTTCTCTCAAACAAGATATCTAATTCGAGGTATGTCAAGTTTCTCGTCTCGGGTAATCTGATATAACACCATATCAGACAGAAGAAGCTCGTTCCTGCGTAGAGGAAACATGACGCGCCGCCAATGTTCCAAGCAGATGGGTTGAGCATCTTGGGCATGATGATGTTGTTGAATATTAAACAGAGGTTATATGTAACCCGTGCGAGAGCAACGGTTTTGACCCGCAGTCGGGTGGAAGGTATTTCGGCTACCACGATATAACAAACGGGGCCGATGGTCATGTCGTAAATAAAAGTCATGGCGATGATCAAACCGCCCAAGGTCCAGTTCGCACCAGTGCGATCGCTCAGCACCACCCATACCACGCCGCCAGCGGTCAACAAGCAGATGGGTGCGAGCAATCCGTATATGTATAGTTTCCGACGACCCACGAAGGGGAGTAGGATCCAGGCAATGATGCCGCCGATGATGCCAACGCCGTAGCAGGCGGTTGAGAGGTTGAAGGATATGGAGGCGCTGAAACCAGCCTGTTCGAAGAAATAAGGTGCATAGGATGTGAGTGACCAGCCGCTGAATGCTTGGCAGACCCAGGCAATACATGAAATCTCTGTTCGTCGACGATTGACTCCTTTGAAGAGATCTCGATAGCTGGCTCCTCCGTAGTTGGAGTCCTTCTCCATCTTGTTGGTGTGCTTCATTAGTGAGATAGTATCCTCTATATCGGTACTATTCTTATTAGTAAGACGAGTCAGAGATTTTCTCGCCTCGTCCGTTCGTTCATGGCGTATTAGCCACCCTGTTTGCCATGTTAGTGGCATTGTGATTAGCAGGGCGAGTTCTCTTACAAGGGCTGTCG